GCTGCTCCCGCCTGGACTGTCGATCCCCCAGAGCTGCCGGTTTGTGTGTCCTGTGCATCCTCCTCAAGAACAGGAAGCAGATCCCTGCCTCCTCAGCCAGTGTGTGCTCAATGAGTGACCACGGACTAGGCCATACGAAAGACCCCAGGGCCTCTTTGTTGCCTCAGGACTAATGGAGCTGCTAGTACAGCTAATGGGCCCTCTGGCTGTATCACCCAAAGTCTGATGCCTGGGACAGAGGGATGGCAGCACCCCTCCACCCCCGACCTTGTGCTGAGTGCTCAAGCCCCTCACCCCCATCAGGTTCTGTGCTCAGTACTAAGCCTTGCCCTGGCAGAGGGACAGATTCAGCTAGGTTGTTCAGTCAGTGGAGACCCCATCCTGTGGTCACTAAGGCCCGCACTGCCTGCAAAGGGGCCTTTCCAGTGTCTTCAAGGCTGTCCTGGGCCCAGGGAGAAGTTGCATCTAGGGACCCAGAAGGCAGACCTGAGTACCACCCCCTCCGCCTGAGGAGATCAAAGGGAGGCAGGTCCCAGCCCCACGAGAGGAAGAAGGGAGGGAAATCCTGGAGACCCCGGCCATAGGCAGTGTGTTTGGACCCCCTGGTTAACAGATGGGTGAGTAAAAGAAATCTTTCTTGGTTCCATTTAGAGACGAGGAAACTGAGGAATGGGGAGAACAGTCTTGCCCAGAACAAAAGACATGGTGGACCAGATCCAGAAAGCTGGCCTCAGCCTCCAGGGACCTGGTCCCACCCAACCCCCATCCCTATCAAAGGGTGCAGAGAGGAGACCAGGCTGGGGCCATTGCTAAGCCCGTATTTTGCAGATAAGCAAATACACCTGGTCCCTTGCTTCCTCACTGCACCAGGGTCACTTGCCCCAGGAAGCCCTCCTCCAGAGCCTCCCAGTGTCATGAGCCTCCAAGGTTCACCTGGAATTGAGAGTCTTTGAAGTGAGGTCTAAAAGACACAGTAGGTAAATGCTGGGTCCCGGGCTCCTCAGTCCCATGCAGGAGCTGAGTGTGGTGTCAGGGCAGGAAATACAGCCTTCCCAGTCTCAGCTCCAAACCCACACGACAAGCTTTTAAACACTCCCCTCGCTGGGGCTGTCACAAGGCTGAGAGGAGACCTGTGCAGCTTGCCTTAGTGCTGGCCACATACAGAGTGTTCACATGGGGCTGCTTACGGCCATCCATTCTTCAACTTGGGGTGCAGGTCAGAGATGTGGGCCCCACCCCAAGGTGCAGCTCAGCTTGAAGGGTCTGAGTGAGCACCCCGAGAAGAGAGGAGGGGAAGGGCCTGTGGGTAGACGGTGGGACACTGGGAAAGTCCTTTCAGAAGAACAATTTAAAGGGATGACAAGGTGTCCAGGATGTGAGCATGGGAGGGTAAAGTGGGTCAAAGGAGTGAGAGACCAGATTGCAAGCGACAAAAAAACAATTCAAATGAGCTTACGTAGAAAGCAATGTATCAGTTCACGTGGCAGTCAGATCTAACTAGCTTCAGGCATGGCTGGATCCAGAGGCTCCGTTAATGTCCTCAGATTATCTGTCTCCATCTTGTGGTTCCAACTTTCTCAGTTGGGGTTCCTTTGTCACATGGGCTCTCCCTGTGTACTGACAAAAATGGCTACTGGTAACTCTGGCCTCCTGTCCCTACCTGGGGGAGGGAGCACCTCTTTTTCAGTAGCTCTGGGAAGAGTGCCAGGATTGACACTCATTCAACTCACTGCCTTCAAGAACCTATTTCTGACCCAGTGGCTGTAGCAAAGTGAACAATGGAACGCTCTTCATTGGCCAGGTCCTCAGTCACATGACCCTCATGGAGAAATCCAGAGCCATGTGGCCTGAAAGTAGGGGGGGTTTGGGTCATCAGAAAAATATTACAATGTCCTTTAATAGAGTGGGAGGCCTGCCCCACGGAGGGCTGGTCCATGGGCTATAAGGCAGGCCTTAGGATGGAGAGGACAGCCAGGGGCCCAAGTGTTCATGGAATGGAGACAGGAGACAGGACAGAGGTGGGGCGGCAGCATCAAAGCAGGAGGCCACTGGGGGAGCCAGATGGTATGAGCAACAGAGGGCGGGTTTGGGTGGGAAACACGGAAAGGAGGTGTTGAATAAAAAGGACCTGAAGGGCATTTTGGGGCCCTGGAGTTCCCGTGATGTCTGTAAAGGATAGACTGTTGGGGGTGGGGGGGGCTTTGGTTAGGAAGGACTCAGAAGGGATGGAGCTCAGTGTGAATTGTTGCATGGGAAGGTACAGTGTCCCCTTGCCCGTGGCCCCTGTAGCAGCCCTTCTGAACCATCTCAGAACCTGTTACCTGGGAGCTGATCGAAAAGCTAAGTCCCAGGCCCTGGCCTCAGACTGATTCTTGGATAACTGGGGTGAGGCCAGGTGGCATCTGGGCTTGGGTTTCTGGTCTAGGGAATGGGTGTGGAATCAGAGATCGCATTCAGCTGGTCAGGAGAACCATCCCCCCCAGAATCCTGGGTAGGCCGGGGCCTGTCCTGGCCTCCAGCTGCTGGCAGCCTCTCAGGTGGCCCTGCAGGCAGTATGGGACAGGAGCTGGGCTGGCTCAATGATCCTGTAGCAAGGCACTGGCCGTGCCACCCCCCAGTCAAAGCTGCAAAATGGATGAAGCCATTACTGAAAGGCAAGTGGCCAGGGCATGGGCTGGCAGGGTGAGTGAATGGTCAGCCCTGGCCCACCATAGTCCCACATAGGTCCCAACCCAGGCCTCCTTCCTCCCTCCTGGACACCCCCAGTTCCCCAGAATCAGAACAGTCACAGCCAGGCTAGTAGGTGGAGGGGCACCTTGTCCTCAAACCTTCTGCCTAGAGAGCAATGATGTGCCAAGGGACGTGTCTGGGACTTGTCCCTGAGGCAGGAGGTGGCAGGGAGGAGCCCCCACCGACTTTAAGACACTGAAAGAGCAAGTGGAGTGGCCACTCACCCTGTGTGGAAGGATCTGCAGGGTGACAGATGGCTGAAGTGTTTGCTCTGTGACCCCCTACTCTGTGTGCAGGGGGAGGGTGGTGGCTGCCAAGCCCTGCTCCGGGATACCAGCAGGCCAGGGGCGCTTCTCCAGTGATGCTCCCTCCCCTCTCCTAGTCTCTAACACTAACACAGAGATCATCTCCATCTTTCACCTACCCCTAGCCCAGGCTTACCCAGTTTGGTACATGTACACACGCACTGTTCTAGAACATTCCCTAGCTTCCAGAGCCCTCCTTTGGCAGGGTTGTCCTCATAGGAACATCTGTCAAAGGCTCAAATGGCCTTAAGAACTATTCCATATGCTAGACACCAGAGTGTCCCAGGGCTCAGGGTCACACTTTCCAACTTGTCCAGGAATCCTCCGGGGTCCCGCGTGTGCACTCCAGATGAACCAACAAGCTGAGGATCCGTGCCTTGCTCAGGCCACACCTCGGGTTGTGCTCAGTGTGCCAGAGCCCGAGGCCTCCACATTTCCAATATCCCTCTCACATCAACACAAAGTCTCAGTGAATTCGGAATAACTAACCTCGGCCAAGGCTCAGCCTGGTGGGACCTCGTACGTGCTGAGGGGCCCTGACCAGTAAGCCCAAAAAGCCATGGCTGTCCCCTCCCCCTCTCCCCACCCCCCGTCGGGGACCGGAGCAGCCTATCTCCAGCATGTTTCCACCTCCGCACACTAGAGATCAGTCCCTTGAGGCTCCTTCCGGCATCAGCCAGGCGCCCCCTCCCCGCAGTTTCCACCCCTCACGGAGAACTCCAGGCCTACCTAGCTAACATCCGGGGTACCCAAGACCCTTGGGACCCACCATCCAACCCAACCTGCTCGCCGACCGCACCCATCCCTACTCCACTCGGAAGAAAACGAGAGCGGTTCAAAGGTTTAAACAATTTATTGTGCCCCAAAAAGGCCAACGGGAGGAAAGGAAGGCCGCGCGGCCCCGCGCCCCGAGCGATTGTTTGTCGCGCACCCAAAGGCGGAGGGTGGGGAGTGGGGAAGGGCGGCGCGGCGGCGGCGTCTCAGCGCACCAGGGCCCGGCCAACCCGCGGCCCCCGCCCTGGCAGGCAGGCGCGGCCTCGGCCATTGGCGCCTAGGGGCCGGTTACCATGGAGACAGCCGTTGCCAAGGGCGAGAGCCAATAGGGGCGTCGCCTGGCCGTTTCAAAAATCTAAAGCAAAAACAACAACAAAAAACCGCTACGGCGGCGGGGGAGGGGGGGCAGGAAAGGGGATGGAGGGAGCCCCGGGCCCTCCGTGCGGCTCAGAGCAGGGGCGGCGGTGGCCTGGCCGGGCAACCGTACAAAAACCTACATACACTTGGGGTAGAAAAACCGAACACCGGAAAGACCCGGCAGGCCGGCGAGCTCACTTGCGGCCCTTGGGCACCTTGGGGACGCTGGGCTTGGCCGCCTTCTTCACCTTCTTGCCCCCGGCGGCCGCCGCCTTCTTAGCCTTGCTGCCTTTGTCCTTCTTGGAGGCGGCGCCCTTCTTGTGCGAGCGCTTCTCGGGCTTCTGGCCCTTGGCCGGCTTCTTGTCCGCGCGCCGGGGGGCGGCCGCGCCCGGGGCCGCCTTCTTGGCCTTGTGCGCGGCGGGCGCCGGGGCGGTGGCGGCCGCTGTGGCTCCGCGCCGCTCGCCGCCGCCCTCCAGCTTCTTGCGGTTGAGCTTGAAGGAGCCGTTGGCGCCGGTGCCCTTCACCTGCAGGAGCGTGTCGTTCTGCACCAGCGCCTTGATGGAGTACTTGAGGTAGGTGCGCCCGTTCTGCTGGTCGAACCACGCCACCTTCTTGGCCTCCGTGTAGATCTTGGCCAGCGACGAGCCGTTGCGCTCGCCCAGCCTGCGGATGGTCTCCACCACCAGCTGGCTGTACTTGCCCGGCTGGTTCTTCTTCTTGTTGTTCTTCTTCTTCTTGGACGGGGACAGCGCTGCCGAGCCGCCAGCCTTGGCCGCCTTCTTGGCCGCCCCCTCGGCGGTCGTCAGCGGCAGGGCCTCCTCGAGCTCCACAGACATGGTGGCGAGCGGGTTGGTGGCGGGCGGGGCGCGGAAGCCCGGGGGCCGCGCCGGGAAGAGGAAGGCGAGGGGCCGAGGGGGCGCCGGGGGACTGGGGGCGCGCGGCGGCTCCAGGCGGGAGCGGCCGCGGCCGGGCCTGGGG